ATTGAATATTTGAAGTGTACTCTAGCATTGTTGAGTTTTAATGTTTCAAGTCACTTCTGCTCACCAAGGCTGCATTTGTTTGATCAAAAATACTGTAATATTTCTGTAATATTATTACAAATAATCTGAATTTTCAGCAGCATTCCTCCAGTCTTCAGTGTCACATGATCTTCAGAAATCAGTATAATATGCTGATCTGCTGCTCGAGAAACATTTCTGATTATTATCAATGTTGAAAACAGTCGTGCTGCACAATATTTCTGTGGAGACTGTGATGCATTTTATTTTTCAGGATTCACAGATGAACAGAAAGTTCAAAAGAACAGCATTTATTTGAAATAGCAATCTTTTATAACATTATAAATGTCTTCACTGCCACGTTTGATCAATTTAACACATCCTTGATGAATAAAAGCATAAAAGTAGTAAAAAAATATTACTGACCCCAAATTTTGAACGCTAGTGTAAGGTTTATTTTGTTAACTTTTAGGACACTAGCATATAGATTACATCAACAGAACAAAACTAGCGGATAGTTAGACAAAAAAATGTTCAACACAGTCATTTTTTTTCTAATCCTTTCTAAAAGTTAGCTAATTCCATAATGAGGAAGCTTTTATCCTTAGTTCTGCTTCCTAACGTTTTAAGAAATTGAGTTACGGTGTGCTACGGAAACAGCCCGTGTCTGAGGACTGATACGTAATATTTCATCGAAATCCACAGGGAACCAAACGATCCGCTCTCATTACCTCTGATGTTTTGAATATGACTGTAAATGTGCTGTAGTGAATTAATGAGGTCTGCGTTTAATCAAAGGAGACTTGTGCGCTTACCCAGGCCCACGTTTGTGTGTGACTTCCCTTACGAAAAATACGTTCATTCAAGTGTGCTTTTAGGATACTTCTTTTAAACTAAAAATAGGAAAGTATACTTTTAGTTGACTTTTTGTGTACTTCTCAGAAATGGGCTTTATGTACTCCTCAGAAATAGACTTAAAATGACATTTAAGTATACTTGACTTATACTTAGAAAAAGTCTAAATATATTTGAGCTATACTTGTGCTCCTAGAATCCGTGTTTTCATTGTTATACTGTAGGGGGCGCTAGTACACATCTTCTGTACAAAATTTCCAATAAAATACACAAGTGAAGAAGAAACTGAAACAATAGACGCTTCCACATGTAATCTAACACGATCATCAGACATAAAACAGCATCAAAACTGTGTAACGTATGGAGTATAATGTCGACCCATGAAGAGGTAATGACTGTCAAGGTGTTGATCGACTCGGTCTACGTTTTGATTATCATTCTGAATCCAATTCATAGTCTTTTTTCAGCTTTTTGTTCAAAATGCTGTTTATTAATTTATTTTTCATTTATGAAACTTACCCACATACAAGTGTTTAAAAAAGGAATGCATGACACGAGAATAAAATGTTTTTGTTTACAAGCAGATACCCTGTTCTTTCTTTTGATGTTTTGTATGTTCAGATATTCATGTAACAAAATATATACAAATTGATACCTAAATAGGGACATAGTAGTATACTTAAAGTGTGATGTAAAGTTCACTTAAAGAAAACATACGAGTATACTTGCAGTATAAAACTACTAAACTAGTAGTTTACTGAGACTATACTTCAAGGTGTACTAAAACTGCTACAAGTCTTTAATTAGTAAACTATCAGTATACCTATAAATTCACTTTTAGTATAGTTGCAGTACAAACTAAACATTTTGATGTAAACTAGTTGTGTACTCAAAGTTTACTACTGTTATACTTAAAGTATACTTAAAAGTATACTTTTATATACTAG